GAGTTCATCATAGCCTTCAACATATTCAATCATTGCTTCCTGAGGTTTATTAGTTAACAAATAAAGATCAGTACAACAAAGATGAATCTAGGTTTATTGGACTACAAAGGTTTACGCGCTTATACAAGAGTACCTCCTCTTCTTCTTCAATTTCCTCGTCAACATTCTTTGCAGCATCAAGAACTTTGTTCCACGCACCCTCTTGGTAATTGAGTATGTCATTGTCAGGGTAAATGCCTTTCTTCAAACGCTCTAACAACTCGTTTTCAATGGCCTGTAAAAAGAAACAGCACTATCATGAGAACCTAAGAGCTAAAGTGAGGAGGCAAGTAAAATCAAAACCCAAAAAATAAAAAAACTGTGATCTTATCCAACTCGGCTGCTTTTACAGCCTTTTCCTCTCTTCTCGATTCTCTCTTCATTTGCCTCCTAGGCGTAGTCATTATCGTCTCCCTGTGAATTCAGAAACAGAAGCTCCACATAATTAATCAGAACATAGCCATCTGTAAACCAAACAAGATATCAAATTCCAAGAACAAAAAAATCGAACCTTGTTTTGAGAGCAAGTTTTCTCATACGAATACGCATTTGAGTCATTTTGGTGAGTCTTTGTTTAACCTTGTGCTGCAACAACTTGGGCCAGTACAACTGCCACGATAAAGAATCGGAATTAAACCTCAATGAATCTGCCTAGCTTAAAAGAGAAAGAAGAGAGTTCAAGGGCTCAAAAATCTCAAGCTCACCAAGTGTTTGTCAATGAGTTCAAGGGCTTTCTCATAGTTTCTAGGCAGCTTAATTCTCTCCCACAAGTTATTTGGCATGTGGGCTCTCTATATAGTCTTCATATACAAATAAAACACTCCTGAGAGAATCAATCCAAGTGTTCCAAACAGACAGAATCAGCTAAAAGACACGAACACAAACACAAAATTGTCCTTTTTTTAATTCGATTTTGCAGATTACCATCGTGGTCACGGATGGTGGCGTAGCGACTATTGGCAAGAGGGCAAGAGCTACGATTGCAGGTACCGGTAACATTATAAGGGTTTCTACAGAAGATTCCAGTTTCGATTCAGGAAGTAGAATTAAAGCAAGAGAATTCAACAAAACAGAACGATGAAATCAAAAGAGACAAGTGATAAAGAAATCAAAAGAAGACATACTTGGCCATATAACTGCAGTGCTTGTGTCTGATAACCTGCCATATAACCTCGTCGTGTTACATCTTGAACTCCGGCGATTAAACTGTCGTCGGAGATTTTTAGGGTTTATGGGAGAAGAAGAACGGTAAAATTCGGATTTGGAGTGAAATAACAGCTTTAGTGGGTTAATCTTGTGGGCCTCACAAAGTAAAAACCCAAATAACACTTTAGTCGTAG